CTTGGTCATTGTGAGAAGGCACTAGGGTTTGTGCCTTAAAACACTTTCGTGTGCAGGCTGCAGTTGCATCAATAAATTTCTTATGCTGGGATTGGTTTTCTTGGGCTTCACTGAGAAACTCAATTTTAGGGAAGATAAAAGCTTTCGTTTATAACCATGTTACTGAATTTTGGTAATCCCTAGAAATAAAACTCTTAAATGAATCACTTAATGAGGGGCATGGGAGAGAGAAAATTTTATGGTGGACAAATTTACAAGTAGTTCAGCTTTTATGGTCTGTATTTCTTAAACTATTACCAAGAACCATGGTCTGACAATCCAGGTGCACACTAAAAACGTCGAAGGGGGAAAATCTTATTTTAAAAAAAATGCACCGATGTGTTTCAAGGGTCCATGTCACATTTCAGTGATTCGCTTCCGCAGATAGATCCCCATTGGGACCAGCTGCACTGAGCCGACAGTGGGAGCCAGCCCTGTGGACCGAGCCCCAAGCAGCCTTGAGGTGTGGCATCTGCTGATCATGCCGTGTTTTGGAGCAAGGCAGATGTGTCTGGATGTGGGTTTTGGGACTCCCTGGCTATCTCTGAGCCTGGAGCAGGGGAGTGGACCGAAGCACGTGCCAGCAGCAGGTGGGCAGGTGGCCGGAGATAAACCTGTGGCCACGTGGAGGAAAGCTGGTGCTGGTTGAAACGTCAGCTCTCCGAAACCGCACCGCACGGGGCAGGCTGCTGTGCAGCGCTCCTCTCGAGGCGGACGCCCGCAGCGGGGGCTCCTCGCCGGCCCCCGGGCTTCCTCTCCTTCAGCTGCCGGGGTTGCTGTCAGTCTGCTGCAGGAGGATTTTTTTCTCACGTGTTTGTCACTAGCAGCTAGTGTGAATTGCTTTTTTTTTCCTTCTTCACCCCCCTCCACGTTAAAAAGTAAAAGGTGCAGGGGGTTTTTGTGGGGACGCTGGCAGTGTTGCTCCAGCGATGTGAGTACGGAGCAGAACGAGGGAGGTGTGCGAGCCCAGGGTCTGGGCTGTGCACGGGCCTGCAGTGGCACAACAGAGTGCCTGGGGAATAGAGGAGGGAAGGGCTGCATGGCCGGGTGAGAGGAGAGAAGAAGGAGGGAACAATAGTCCAGGCTTTGGAAGGAGGAGGTGCTGGGAAGAAACTGCTGCTGGAAGTTTCTTCCCAGCAGCAGAAGCACAGCTTGGGA